TGCCCGCGCTCTCGGTCGCCGGGTGCGCTGCTAACTCGTGGAGGTGTCGCTTCCAGTTTTTCCTTCCTTAGGAAGCAGGGAGCCTTGGTGTCAGGACACCCTGGGACTAGGGGGCTGAGACGGAACTTGACGCCCCCGCCTGCCGTCGTCAGTTCTCAGCTTCATTCTTCTTTCTTCGTCTCTAGAGCATGGACTTGGCGTGCCTCTGGCTGGGGCTGCTGCTGCCTTCCGTAGCTGCGCTGGATTTCACCTACCACCACCAGGACGACATGGAAGCGTTTTTGAAGACCGTTGCCCAAAACTACAGTTCTATCACTCACTTACACAGTATTGGGAAGTCTGTGAAAGGTAGGGTCCGCATCGTGCACACTTACCAAACCCTCAGTCCCCCTTCTGTTCTTTAAGTATTCCTCAGCTTCCTGTCCCCTCTCCACGAAGCCACTCTGAGGAGCTCCAGGCAGGTCACCCAGTGCCTCGCGTGTTGGTTGTTTTCTGATCTTGTTTGTTGTTTTTTTGTGTGTCGGAGGAGTAGTAGGAAGAACTGGATTTTACTGAATCTCTCCATAGTGATTCAGTGTCATTGAGTCCTTCGCTTTATTGGCGTTCTGTCTTTTTGGATCTCGCAGCACTGGCTATCTGGGATGTGTATTTTAGTTCCTTTTCAAAATAAACTTCTTCCAAGGAAGTCCATTTATCCACGTCAATTTCCCTTTTTGTTAGCTTCCTTAAGTATGACTTGACTGTTAGTATCATTTCTTCAAGTCTGTTTTAAACTAAAATAGTGCAGTTTTGTTGGTAAGATTTCTATGCTATGTATAATTAGCCCTATGGTTTAAAGTTATGAAAAACTATCATTTCTACATGTTTCTTTTAATCTTAAGTAGTACAGTTCTGTTGGTAAGATTTGTGTCATGTATAATTAGCCCTATGGCTAAAAGTTATGCAAAAAAAGTGGCTCTATGATTAAAGGCTGTTTTTAAAATGTATCCATTTGAAGAAGACAATTGCTAGAAAATAAGTGTTAGCACTGATTGATACTCTTTCTAGCATTTTCACATTTGTCACTTAATTGCTTTGTTTTAACCTAGAAACTATATATATTTATTCTCATTTTTATAGACAACAAGTTTGAATCACAGGGAAATTAAATATTTGTTCAAGATCACCCAGGATTGGCACCTAGATCATTTTGGATGAGGCAAATAATTTTATCAGATATTATTTCTTAATCCTCTTTTATTATAGTGATACCCCCAAGAGATTAGCAGAAAACTAGATGCTTAAATCCTGTTTTCTAAAGTTTCTGAAATTCAGACCTCAACTCTTTGTAAGGTGTGTTCAAGCTCTGAATTTTAGCTCTGAGCTTTTGAGTCAATTGGGAGTCTCTTAGTTACCATATTCTTAATTCGTCATTTTCCAAAAAAATTAAGGTCGTTTTTTTTTATATTAAAGAAAAAGTATTACATAAATATACTTATGTGCGATGTAAAATAAAAATCCTGGGCTGTATGTAATAATAGTACTTTTTTCTGTAAACAATATTGCCAAAGAGTTGGTTCCAGAATTACTCTGTATTGCTGTATGATCCAAAATTATACAGGTTGGATGTGTGAGAAATCATATCTTGAATCAGCATATGTATTTAACCTTTTGAAATCATTTTCCCCTAGGGCTAGAGTGAGCAATTTTAAAAAGATCTAAGAATACTAATTATATGAATAAAGGAAATA